CTCCATTTGACCATAAGATGAAGAGGGTGAGAAATGTCTAACAATGCTGTAAAAACCCTCATAAGCCTTAGTGGAGTATCACGAAGGCTTAAGTATAACAGAGCACACATGCCAGGCTGTTTAGTTTAGAAAAACGAAATGAAATAACTGCTTTTAAATCTTGCAAGTTTTTATACACAAGCTATAAATAACAAATATATGTGGTTGCCACATAATATAAATTATATTATAGTTAGGAAGCGTCAATCAACTTCACGTTAATGTATCCTTTGAATGGTCTAACGAATGTTCATTTTGTACCTTTATATTATTTCTACATAACTACTTATTTCGCACATTGAAGTCAATTCTTTAAGAGTATGTGGTGGCTCTTAAAAGAGCCGTTGTGTGGAGAATAGAGACGGTGCTTTAAGCCCTCTCCCCGCGAATGCGGCGAGCCAGCTGGATGTCCTTGGGCATGATGGTCACCCTCTTGGCGTGGATGGCGCACAGGTTGGTGTCCTCAAACAGACCCACCAGGTAGGCCTCGCTAGCCTCCTGCAGAGCCATGACTGCGGAGCTCTGGAAACGCAGGTCGGTCTTGAAGTCCTGGGCGATCTCCCTGACCAGGCGCTGGAAGGGCAGCTTGCGGATGAGCAGCTCGGTGGACTTCTGGTAGCGGCGGATCTCTCTCAGAGCCACGGTCCCGGGTCTGTAGCGGTGAGGCTTCTTCACGCCGCCGGTGGCCGGGGCGCTCTTGCGCGCAGCTTTGGTGGCGAGCTGTTTCCTCGGGGCTTTTCCTCCGGTGGATTTACGGGCGGTCTGCTTGGTTCTGGCCATTTTGTCTGCTCTGGATCAGTGTGAGACTTGAAACAGGATGAGTATAAGGCTGAGGCTGTGGCTCTTTATACATGTCAGGGCGAAGCTGATTGGCTCTGAGGCGTTAGCCCCGCCCCTGTCCCGTGCGCTGCTTTCATTCACGAGGCGGAGGCTTCTGACTGCAGTGAAGACGTTTGAGGGGCAGGATCACCAGTTTCTGGAGGGACCATCGACTGTAAATATTGGAGAGACTCAGGAAAAAGAACAGTTACTGTCGTCTATATGTTTAACTGTCACTCAGTCATGCCATGTGTGACAGACAGGAACTGGTCATTTTTGAAGAGATACACGCACAACATTACTGATTATATCACATTGTTGTCGTTCTCTGTTTATTATAATACAATATACGAAGAAATACCAATGAAGTGAATGTGACAAAATAGCGTTATAAGTAACTGATTTGTCGTAGTAAAAATAATAATGCATCTGTTTTATGCAGCGCTTTTCTGGACACTCAAAGACGCTTCACATGTCATAATTCATTCACTCCATACACAGTGGTGATAAACTACTAATGTAGCCACAGCTGCCCTGGGGCGCACTGACAGAAGCGAGGCAACCAGTCTGTGCCGTCTACCCCTCCCACCACCACCAACCATTCACAAACACACACACACACCAGACTCTTCTTAAAGTGGGTGAAGTGTCTTGCCTAAGGACACAGCCACAGTTTGGCACTTTACAGCCGCCCCACCGTGGCACGTGGTGTTCCCTGAGGTCTCCCATCACAGTACTAACCAGGTCATACCCTGCACAGCTCAGAACTAAAAATATGTCCAATAGTTCTAGCATGCGCCTCCTGTACTGGCGACCCCGCTCCCATCTCTGTGTGGAGTGAGAGACAATTGCCCAATATTAACAATTGTAAACCGCTTTGAGACTCAGATCTGCAGTGAAAAGGCGGTATATAAATAAATAAATAAATAAAGATTACTTACAGCTTCATAGAGGTATGTATATATTTCTTGTATACATTTGAGTATAATTTCTTGTATATTGATATCAGTTCTAGTTATTAAACGTGTATAGCAGTGCGATTTATACAGTTATGCCTTATGAGCAGAAGCGTCTCTCTAGCGGAGGTGGTGGCTCTTAAAAGAGCCTTTGAGTTGAAAAACAACACACACGCAGGAGTTTACTTCTTGGCCTTCTTGGGAGCAGCCTTCTTTGCCGCTGCCTTCTTGGGACTCTTCTTCACGGCCTTGGGCTTCTTGGGGGTCACCTTCTTGGCAGGTTTCTTAGCCACCTTCTTGGGGCTCTTTGCTGCGGGCTTCTTGGCCACCTTCTTGGGGCTCTTTGCTGCGGGCTTCTTGGCTGCTTTCTTGGCAGGGGACTTGGCCTTCTTCACCACCTTCTTCTTGGGGGTGGTCGCTTTCTTTGCTGCGGGCTTCTTGGCTTTGGCGGGGGCCTTCTTCGCGGTCTTAGGCTTGGCTTCCTTCGCGGCCAGTTTGAAGGAGCCGGAGGCCCCGGTGCCTTTGGTCTGGCTCACTACGCCGTTAAGCACCATCCTCTTCAGGGTGTTGTTGATGCGCTTGTTGGCCTTGACCACATCGACGCCTTTCGCCGCCAGCGCCTTCTTCACGGCGGCCACAGAAATGCCTTTGCGCTCCTTGGACTCCGCGATGGCGGTCTTGATGAGGGCTCCCAGGTTGGGGCCATCGCTCTTCTTGGCGGCGGCCTTCTTCTTGGGGGCCTTGGCTTTGGCCGGAGCGGGTGCTGCGGGTGCGGTCTCTGCCATGGTTCGTGTTGAGGTTTAGATCTGAGTCTAGTGGAGACGGAGGCGCGAGGAGGAGGTTTATTACGGCTGTGAGAACCGTAGAGACTCAACCTGCTCTGCTCAGTGTCCCTGGCTCGGCTCTGTGTTTTCTCTTCGCACTTTAGAGTTAAATTATAAACAAATAAAAGACGTTTCCCAATCATGTTATACATCCTCGTGTGCGGAAGAAACTCTACTTTGTGGATAAATTGTCCTTTTCTCAGTTGAAACATCTGTAACGGAGTTTAATGCTCAAAACCACGCGGCTGTCTGTGATGATCCAACTCAGGGCGAGGACTTTTTCCTACATTTAGCGTTAAAAACGTCTTGATTATTCTTTAATGACAGATATTGGGCATATCCACAACGAGAAGACACATCACAGTTTTATTTCCAGTCTTTAAACTTTCGCTTTGAGTGCAGCCTTTAGTTGTATTTAACAAATATGTCGGCGGTAGTAACACACCAGCAGCAGCGGGTTTGAACCACGCAACACTATCCATATGTTTCCCTTTGTTTGGAGAGATATTTTCTATAATGATGATCACTTTATTGCTCTAACATCAACATTCACCCGTCCATTAGTTAGTTAACACTCAGCACTTCTGTTTTGACTGACGGAAGATGTGAACGTCCTATTTCAGCACAAAGCTTCTAAACTGGAGCAATATAGCTGTAAACTGTGTGTGCCTTGAGGTGTTGTTTGTGCCATTGAAAATGACCCAATATCATCTATTGTGATGCTTTTTCTCTTGCCTCTTATTTGAGCATAATGCAATTGGACAACAACCTCAATGGATCTTTTATTGAGACGTTTGATGCAATTATAATAACACTGAGCTGTTACAAAAGAAGTCAGTAAAGTTACATTTGAGTTTGTGTTATGCTTTGGTGCTTGTTTTTTGTCTATTCTTTTTTCTTCATGATTACATGTTTAATAATGTGCTCTATTAACTCGTGTTAGTCAAAGATAAGATGTTGCAGCGCACACACAACATATACAAAATAAGTTGTAGATGCTGAAAATGCTTCAATACCAGTAATATATACTGGTATATACATGAAATGTAGTAGTACAGAGTTATATTCTGTACATATTTAGGACAGGATAATAAGTAAAGTGACATTCCGAAGTTGCAGTATTGCACATCCGAGACATTTTTGTGCCATATAAACCAACTCAGACTCTGAGGAGCGCAGGGACTGGCAGCATTTCAGATTAAAGCAGATACAATCTGGAACAGTCTTCCTGAAAATGTGAGAAAGGATTTTCCGCTGACAATGTTAACAGAAACTGTTCTTTTTCGTCAGGCATACAACAGAGATTTTAGAGTACTGTTATTATTTATGCTTTCCCTCTAGTTTTTGTTCTTTGAGTGGCAGTTTTTGCCTGTGCTATACAAATAAACCTGCCTTGCTCCAGCATATCTATGCAGTCGTGGAGTACGTAAATGTTGCTCTGTGCACTGTGTAGCACTGTGAGAACTGTTATCAGGAACACATGTGGCTCATAGCTCTGCATTACATGTAATGAGTGGTATTTTCAGGGAAAAGATAGGTATACTTTATTGATCCAGCAGCAGAAGACTCGTCCAGGTTTGTTGTACAGTCTGACAGATCTCTTGATCCTTTGTGCGCAGTGATAGGAGCCTGTTGCTTTGGTTACTCCTCTGAGGGTGTCTGGAGTTACCCAGGATGCCCTGCAGTAGAGCACTCACCCTTCTCTGCAGCACAGCTCCCACAGAAAGCAGAAGAGATAAACAAAGGGGATTTTTACAGAAGAGTGCGACAGTGGCTCAGTTGGTAGAGCACTGGCCTTAGGTTGTGATGATTATCAGTAGGCATTCGGGTGACATGAAGGAATACATTTTTATAAAAACATACTTTTTTTCTAATAGAAAACACTAGTCTGGTATGTGGATGGTTCTGTTCATACTTGCAAACAAATACCCTATGTATCAAAAGTGATACAAATCAATAGTCATATTTGCAGATTTCAATTTTATATTTTTATTCATCTTTTTTTTACAGGACTAATCTCACCAATCCCCACATATGAGAATTTTCTGGCAATTATTTCATGGACCAGGCTTATAAAGCAGTCAGGCTTGTCCAATTGTCAACGTGGGGAGGTTTTGTCCATCCCGCACCTCGAGTTTGTCTCAGGACAAACATTAAAATGGCCCTTTTTCCTCATTCGGGTTGGAGTGGCAGTGTGACAAACACCCAAAATCTGTACATGTTTTCAACGCAATTTAGGTTACGCAGACGAAATGCTTACTTCAGATGATAATGTGTTAATTATATCATAGCAGAAGTAAAGTCTCTTTGTCAGAGTGGGTGGCTCTTAAAAGAACCGTTTGTTTTTGTTACACTCCTGTGTTTAACCTCCGAAGCCGTACAGGGTGCGGCCCTGTCTCTTCAGCGCGTACACCACGTCCATGGCGGTCACGGTCTTCCTCTTGGCGTGCTCGGTGTAAGTGACGGCGTCACGGATCACGTTCTCCAGGAAAACCTTGAGCACTCCGCGGGTCTCCTCGTAGATCAGACCGGAGATACGCTTCACACCACCGCGGCGGCCAGACGGCGGATAGCGGGCTTGGTGATGCCCTGGATGTTGTCACGGAGGACTTTGCGGTGACGCTTGGCGCCTCCTTTCCCGAGTCCCTTTCCTCCTTTGCCTCTCCCACTCATGTTTAAAGCTCAGTTCTGATAATCACAAAGATGTGTGAGGATCTGGCTCTGCTCCACTGGCTTTATGCAGCATCTGCGGACGTGACTGAAGACTGTGGGCCATGTGGGGGATGGGCGTTCATCCAACTGACTGAGAATCTGCAGATAAATAAGAAGTTATGTAACTAACTAATAATAATGGAAATAACCTGATGACTCATCGTTATTCACAAGCCAAAAACGAATGTAACTATAAACTTAATCCCTCATATTTAGATGTTTTAAATCTACATTTATCTATCTATTCAAAGCAACTTATACATATATGCAACAAATGCCAAATATTTTGACAAACTTTAGACCTCAGCTCTTTAAATTAGAGTCCAGAAAAACAGAACTTAACTTTGAATTAAAAGGATATGATTCAACACCTCCCAGTGCACAGGACTGTAGAGGAGCTGAGGAGCTCCTTCAGTGGAAGACTGAGGCATCCTTGGTGTTAGAAGGAGCAGGGCCTTTATCCCCACAGCTGTCAGACTGTACAATAAGTCACTTTAAGTCACTTGCATTAGGACTGAAAACCTGCACTACCACTGACAGTTTCTTGATTGCCACGTTTTACTGGAGTACATAATATATCCTGCATTTAACATGTTTGCACAGTGATTCTATCCATGCCAGATGTGACATGGACATTTCTCCTGTGTGAGATCAATGAAGTCTATCTTATTTAAGAGATGTGAATAAAACGGGGGCCAGAGTACAATTATATTTATAAAGTTAGTTTAATTCAATAATTTTAAGAAATTCATGGATGTATTTAAATTATATTCATGGGGGAGTACAAGTAAAATCTTGTAGGATTTTACTTTCATTTTGAGCTGACATATAAATGTACTAAAGTTCATAAACTAAGGAACGTAAGTATACTTTCAGCTCAAATTAATACGAATCAAATCCATCAAATGTCCAATTAATCCTTCTCTCTAAACTATTGAACACTAGTGCCTTGGATTTTTGTTTTTACTTTCACCTCTTTTAGACTTGCCTTTACCTGGAGAGTCAACACACCACTTTTTATTTGGTTGTTCATGAGTTATTGTCCCAAAGGTGTTTGTGAATTTAGACCTGGTCGAAACGATGGACTACATTAACTACTACATAACTGTACCACGTGGTACAAAACTAGAGTTTACATAATATATGGTTTAAACTAGAATGATCATATTGGTACCAAAACTTAACTTCATTGAGGAATGCATGTTATTTCGACCATGATCATCAATCCCGAACATGTGAAGTTTAGCCTTTGTCAGATGTGTGTGGCCCTGAAAAGGACCTTTTATGTTGCGTTGTGAACGGCTTCGTTTACTTGGAGCTAGTGTACTTGGTCACGGCCTTGGTACCCTCAGACACGGCGTGCTTGGCCAGCTCTCCGGGCAGCAGCAGACGCACTGCGGTCTGGATCTCCCTGGAGGTAATGGTGGAGCGCTTGTTATAGTGCGCCAGGCGGGAGGCCTCTCCGCCAATGCGCTCGAAGATGTCATTGACGAAGGAGTTCATGATGCTCATGGCCTTGGAGGAGATGCCGGTGTCGGGGTGCACCTGCTTCAGCACCTTGTACACGTAGATGGCATAGCTTTCCTTCCTGCTCTTTCTCCTCTTCTTACCGCCTTTGCCGGCGGTCTTGGTAACGGCTTTCTTGGAGCCCTTCTTAGGCGCTGGTTTGGCATCAGGCATGATGTGTGACTGTGTGGAGACAGCAGACAAGTAAAGTCAGAGAGGCCTGTCCGCACCTTTATACACACTGCATGTAAATGAGCTGCGCTCTTCCTCTCCGCTGATTGGTCTAACCAAATATCTCAGTCTTCTGTTTCTCTCTGGGTTTTGAGCTATGCAGTAACTTCTTCACTGTTTTTTTTGGATTACACGACTTACCTGTTGTAAATTCCAGATCCAGTCTTGGTCTCTTCGCTCTGCTCTCTGCCCGGCCTGCTCCCTGTCTCCACTGCTCCTACTTTTTTGAGTATTTTTGTATCTTTCGATTAATTAAAGACTCAGATTCATGTCTTTGCTATTTGCAGTAAAACCATATTGGAAAAACTGTAAGACTACCCCAGTGTGCACCAGACTCTGTTAAACTGCTTTGTCCTCCCTCTGCTTTGGGGTTCGAAACTCACCCATAACAGAATATTCTTAAAGCAGCAGTAAGCGATTTGGTCGTTTCCGGCAGTTTCTTCTGCCTGAGCGAGTTAGTAGCCCCGCCCCCGTCCCCTCGTCACACCACATGAACGCGCATCGTCTTGGTGATGGCAGCAGCATGTTCATCTCCGTCAGGTCTACTCGTAAGTATATTAACAACAAACTCTGGGAGTGAAATATTAGCATAGAATAGCTTAGTTGTAACCTAGCTATAACACTGGAAGCAGCTTGGTGTTAGCTAGGATAGCATCACTAAGAAAGAGATAAAAACAATCCAGTCTTTTATAGAATAATACTGCTTTTATAGTTGGTACACTGATAACTGTTGTGATAAACATAATGTTGCAGATTGCAGTGTGACGTGTCTCAACATTATGCACAGATGTTAATCTGTTACAGTGCATATGTATTAGATGAATGTAATGCATATACATAACAACAAAGCTTTACATGAAGGTTATTTAAAGTAATACATTACTGCTACTTATTTCCTCACAATTTGTATATTTGGAGTTCTTTATAGACAACACTGTAGTAATGTATTATGTGAAAGTAAAGCTGCATCTCACTGGAAGCTGCCTTCTCAATGTCACAAAATAAAGATACATTTATTGATGTAATCAACATCTGTATTATGTGCTTACTGTTCAGAGAATGAAGACAAAATCAAAGTGTATCAGAGCTGTACAGTGAGATGTGGGACTGAAAAACAATTCCAGTAAAGCTTGTCCGAAACGCAAAAGTACTGTCATAACTAATTACGTTACACTATTACACTGTAAGGAAACCACTTTGAAAGAAAAGCTACAAGTAACAATATATAAAGTCATTTGTCATAACGGTTCTTTCAGGAAGCACTGAACGCCCTCTGTCCAGAGAAGCTGATGACCAGATCCTTTCCCTGATGCGTCTGTGAAAGGTGCCAACAGACATTGAAAACGTGCTTTCCTCAGCGGCCCCCATGGTGCACGTCCTCAGCGGCCCCCATGGTGCACGTCCACTCTGCAGTTCTGAAATATGTTTGTAGTTGTACTATTTCAAAATAAAAAAAAATACATACACCTCTTTCAATGTGCTTTGTTTTATAGTAGGAAAACAAATACAGTCTGTAACGAGTCTAAGAAACTTTATTATGTAAAAGAAGATTTGAAGTTATAGCCGGAAAAATATACACAATGTCCCTACTAAGACAAATAATTACAAGTGATGGTAAGGCAACGTTTGTGTTATCACTTTTTGCTCAAATGAATAACACTGTTATTATCCAGGTCCTTATCCATCGCTGCTGCAGCGAACACTATCAGAGATATCTAACAAAATGTTAATCTTTATGTTGTAGCTTGTTTGAACACATTTCCTCAAAATAATTCATAAGCAGCCACAAGCACACACAGTCACAAGCACACACAGCCACAAGCACACACAGCCACAAGCACACACAGTCACAAGCACACACAGTCACAAGCACACACAGTCACAAGCACACACAGTCACACGCACACACAGTCACAAGCACACACAGTCACAAGCACACACAGTCACAAGCACACACAAGCACACACAGTCACAAGCACACACAAGCACACACAGTCACACACAAGCACACACAGCCACACGCACACACAGCCACACGCACACACAGCCACGCTTCAGGGGCCCAGGTTGAAGGAACTGGAGTCTTCCTCTGGCAGAGATTTTCCTTTGAAACATAATAGAAGAGACATCAGTTTTATCTACTCAAATATGACTTTGATATATTCATCATCAACAACATCAGTATTTATTGATCACCAGGAGTGGCCCCAGATCCACAGGATCCTTGAACATGTTTATTTGGACTGTGAGAGACTGTGCATTGTGAGAGAAAGACACTTACATCGGCTGTTTTGGGAGTCGAGTGATTATCTCACTCCTCTTGATTGTTGAAGAAACTCAGCGACAGTTTTGTCAACACTGACTCCTGGAACATGATCGATATTCATTTTGGACCTCAGGGCAGCAACACAACTGTAGGGATGAACGACACACACATCACAAAATCATTATCATAATCACTGCGTCCCATATATGCATTCACAACAACCTACATGACAAATGTGGGGTGTAAAGTCTTCCTCAGGAGATGACAATGGCCATTCTTCTAATTATGGAAGCAAAGTCTTGTCTTCCCAGTCAATACTAGAGAAAGAAGAGGTCAGCAGAAAAGTATCTAGTCGTTATGGCATTGTTTTTTTTTTAATAGTTATTTAACTTGCATTATGGAGGCTTTTGAACTCTTGTACATTGAAGACCTCATTCCAATTGATTTAGGCCATACTGGAAAAGATACAGAGAAAAGAATGCAATGAAGACATGTAAATTATTACAATGTCTATATTATATCATGCTCATAATTTATTTGGTAGTAGTCAGCAAGACTTTTCTTACTTATTCTCAATACATAATAAAAATGTATGTAGTGGTCACGGAAGTTAGATTTGAGGTAAAGAGATATTGTTTTTATAACAATAAAACTAATATACAGAGTGCAAGTTGCAAAACTTAGTCATTGAAGAATGAAATGCAGACCTACATATATATATATATATAGTGCAAGCAACTATGTTTATTGGCAAAAACAAACGATTCATACAGATCAGAAGTGATCGTAGCAGCCACATCATATTCACAACTACAGACAGCTAATGCTAACAGCTAACGCTAATGCTAACAGCGAACGCTAATGCTAACAGCGAACGCTAATGCTAACAGCGAACGCTAATGCTAACACCACTTCACGGGGGAACTCTGGTGATATGGTCATTTAATTTTGTACATGTGGGGAACTAATAATTGACCGGAGTTTATGGATGGCTGAGGCTGGGCTAAGGCTTCGATGTTGTGTTGTCTGTTGTTGTTTCTCAAAGCTAAGCCAAGGTAATGCGCAGTTATTGCCACAAAATGCGGCCGTATTTCTACAACAGCTGGGGATTTTTAACTAGCTAACTTGGTGAAAACCCGCATTACAGTCTCAGGCAACAATATGTATAAATAATACAACTACTACTGCCACTACTGAGTAACATGCTCACCTGTTCAGTCGGAGAGAGGAATCCACGGAGCTAGAGGTCGCCAACATGAGTGCAACTGGTCACCATGTTGCTCCTACTTTTTGTCGTTCCTCTGTTTCTGGCGTTTTGCCTGTATTTAATAGATCCATGCCATGGTATTTAGTCTGCAGCAGCGCTGGAGGCGGCTTTTCCTTCTCCGCCATGTTTGTTTTGAAGAGTGCGCGTGCACACACGGGAGAAACCCCTTATAAGGCGTGCTCTCTCGTCATTGGATAAGCGCATAGGATGTGAGGTTTTTTTATCATATAGGTGGGAGAAGACTGGAAGGACTGAGAGATCCGTGTTTAGGTACAAACACTCTATATAAGTGATGGCTATTGGAATATATCAATATTTAAGACGTATATTAACACCCAAAAATTGCTTACTGCTGCTTTAATGCTGATCAGATTTCATAACATGTGTATTTATTTTGTGGGGTTGTTTATATTATAAGTTTTCCTCCAACACAGGATGGTTTTCCTGGTGCCCCTCGTCTATGGTATCACTTATAGGAACCCAACAAACTCACATTCTGTTTTCTTTGTGAGATGTGGCTTGTGTGTTTATCCCGCTCTAAAGAACAATACAATTTATTCTTGTATAGCCCTAGGTCACAACAGAAGTCATCTCAGAGGACTTAACAAAACCATTGAAATCACCAACACAGGTCAGAAAATCAACAGTTAAAACACATGAAGAATATAAAGCACACACAGAAGAAAATGTCCATACATGTTGTAGAATGCTAAAGTGTCCTGATCATCACCAATCCTTTCTGTTGGACACTAACTGTCCAACAAGACCCTCCTGCATCGACAAGGAAAAACTCTTAAAAAACCCAGTGGGAAAAAGTGAGAAACCTTGGGGAGAACTAGGGAAACCCACAGGGAGGGAGACCCATTTGAGAAAGGGATCCGCTCCTCCGGACGGACAGGCTAATGATCTAGGACCTACATGTAAGCTAGCTACAAAACGTGGACCAGTGGCCGCTGAACGTGGACAGGTCCGGTGCAGGACTGAAGCACTCCCAGGCGGGTCGGGCGGGGCAGTCCGCACGTGTAGATGGAGGAGGCCAGGCTCAGAGATCCCGTCATCGTACCATGAAACAGACAATGGGACAGCGGGTGAATAGCAATGAACAAACTACAGTCAAAATCCTAAAAATGCTAAACAGATAAAGTAGGAAGGAGGAGAGGATAGTGCTCAAGTTACTATACTTCTCCCAGCAAACTGACTCCCTATGCAGCTTGACTGACAGTCTGAGGAGTTTAGCCTTCTCTGAGTCTTACCTTCCTAGCCATATGCTAAACTAAAGAGGACTGTTTTAAACCTAGCCTTGAATAAAGAGAGCGTATCTGAAAGGAGACAGCAGCAGCCACGGCTAGGCTAAGCAAACCTAATTATATATTATATATCATATACATCATATATACCATACATACCATA